GCGAGGCCTTTACATGGCCATGATTGGACTCCACAGATGGCAAGGTCAACTCCACATACCCCCATGGCAAGACTGATGGGTACTATCTAAGGCAGCTGAACAGATATGAACTAGAAAATGGAAAGCTTTTTAAAGAGTCTTCCTTGATTACCTAAAAGGACCAACTCTTTGGGATTTCAATACTACCTATACTGTGTCTGACTAAACACCTACATATGTGGGGGAAAGCTGGACAAAAGTCACAGGCAATTAATATCACTCCATTCCATGGCTACAAATGGGGTCTTGGATGACCATCTTGCCATTTTGTACATGTCTGGTCTTGAACACAAGGGAACCCAAGAAGGGGAGTATGGCTGCATTTGGACCACTACATCCCATAATTAGAGCCCATGAAGCAGCGTGAAAGAGAGGAAAAAGCAGCATACTTGGAGTACCCAAACCTGGGTTTTGGTCATGGTTTTCGCCTTATTAGTATAGTCTTGTGTAACACATGATCTTCCCACCCTACAGTCTCCTCCCCTGTAGGATGGAGCAAGCACCACCCTCCTCCAGGGAATGCTGTGAAGAATTGAGGTCACATATTGTTGTTGTGTGCTGTTGAATCGATTCTGACTCACAGTGACTTTATAGGACAGAGTAGAACTGCCCCACAGGGTTTCCAAGGCTGTAAATCTTTATGGAAGCACACTGCCACATCTTTCTCCCACAGAGTGGCTGGTAGGTTTGAACTGATGACCTGTCAGTTAGCGGCTAAGTGTTTAACCATTGCACCACCAGAGCTCCTTTGAAGTCACATAAGCACAGTGGAAATGATGATAAGAATCACTCACAAACTTTGTGTCATGCACCCGACTAGGCACTTTCCATTTAACCTTCACGTCAATCCCATGCAGTAGGTACTATTGTTATAGATAAAGAAACAACGGTAAATAACTTGCCCTGCAATCACACAGCTAATATGTAGCCAGAATAGAATGGATCCGTGCAGTTTGAGTCTGGAGCCTACATTCTTTAACTCTGCATTGTTCATACAAGATGGAAATGAGCACAATGCCTGGCACATCGCAGGTGATTAATAAATGGATCTCTCCTTCCTTTGGTCTCTCCTAATCACATAGGATTAGACTGATAAGTTGATAGAGACATGTATGTGAAAATTCTCTGAAAACTGTAAAGTACAATGAAAATAAAAGCCAAAAAACCAGCTGCCATTGAGTTGATTCTAAGTCATGGCAACGCCATGTGTGTCAGAGTAGAACTGTGCTCCATAGGGTTTTTAATGGCTGATTTTTCAAAAGTAGATCACCAGGCCTTTCTTCCAAGGTGCCTCTGAGTGGAGTAGAACCTGCAACCTTTCAATTAGCAGCCAAGTGTGTTAACCCAGGGACACTATGAAAATATGGAAAATTTATTTTTAAATAGCTTTATTAAGATACATTCTCATGTCATATAATTCACCCATTAAAAGTATTCAAGTCAATGGTTTTTGTATATTCACAGAGTTGAGTAACTATCACCACAATCAATTTTAGAACATTTTCATTACCCTAAAAAGAAGCCCTGTACGTCTTAGCCATAATCTTCCTATGTGCCCATGACTCCACCCCCACCTCAACTAGCACTTGGCAAACACTAATCTACTTTCTATCTCTATGGATTTGCCTATTCTGAACATTTCATTTCAATGGAATCATACTATACGTGGAATTTTGTGACCAGCTTCTTTCACTTAAAATGTTTTCAAGATTCATCTGTGTTGTAGCATGTATCAATTCTTCGTTCCTTTTCATTATTGAATAATATTTCTTGTATAGGGTATTGTTATTAAATCTATTTGCTTCATAGAGTGCTAGAGCTCAAAAGAACTTTAGAGACTGAACCGAAGCCCCTTCCATTTTACTGATAGGGAGACTGTGGCCAACAGAGGTTAAGTAATCTAGCCAGGGTCACCCAGCTGGTTGGTGGCAGGGCCAAGCCTTGAGCTTACAACTGTCAACTTAATCCCATGTTACCTCACTCCACAAAACATCATTGGAAACGTAATGCAAAGCACACAGCTTATTAGATGTGGGCTGGTAGAATCACCTCTGCAAATATTAGCTGAGCATCATTCATTCAACAAATATGTATTGGCCATCCTCTATGTTTAGGGAACTGTGCAAGGTGCTGGGCATAAAAGGGGAACAGGATGGACAAGATCGCCGCCCTTCCTCCCAGAGCATACGTTCTCCTGGGGAGGCAGAAATAAATAAGTAAACCCCTAAAATAATGAAATAATTATATGTGTTAAATGCCATGAAAGAAACTGTGGAAGAGAGTGATGTTGGGGGCTAGGGCAGCAATGGTATGGACAGTAGGGTGGGGGTGAAAGGACCTGTTATTTACAGGGCTGTAGGATACTGGGGAAGGCCCTTCTGAGGTGAGGATATTCAGGCTGAAGCCTGAAAGAGTAGAAGGAGCCAATCTTGTGAAGACCTGCAGGAAAAAATTGCCAGACAGCATGTGCAAAGTCCCTGAAGTGGGAAAGAGCTTGATGTGCTGAAAGAATTGAAAGGCTGGAGCAGAGTGAATGAGTGAACAGATGGTGAGAATTGAGGCAGGAGAGGTGAGAGAGCCCAGATGACACGCAGGCACTTTGGCCTGTTCCTCATCATCACATTCTCTGAGCTAACTGAGGATAGGAGGACCTGTGGGAAAGTAGGCTGGTGGCCTTCACTTTCCTTCCTGCTAATTAAATAAACCCCATTTACACAGGAAGCTAGAAGAGCCCTGAGTCTCTATAGCAAAGACTTCCAAGGACAAGAGAACTGCATCTTCAATAAGGGTGACGTACTTATGTATCACCCTTGGGATGAATCAGAAGATAAGGAAAACAGAGGGAAATGAGAAATGCGGGTCTATTAATAGGGGAGTGGTTAAATGATTATGGTACAGCCACATAATACAACACAATTCAGCTGGCAAAAAGAACCAGGTTAACTGTTTGTGCCGACGTGGAATGATCTCTAACTTAGCTGTTAAGCAAAAAAAAAAAAAAAAGCAAGGTACAGAACTGTATGTGTAGTATGTTACATTTGTGTAAGAAAGGATGGGAGGATAATATGTATTTCCTAATAGGTGTATACAATCCCTCTAGAAGGAGGAGTTTACTTGTTCATTTCTGTCTCCCCGCCAGGAGAATGCACATTCTGGGGGGGGGGGGGGCAAGGATTTTGTCTGTTTTGTTCACCATTGTATCCCCAATGGGAGGAGTGAGAGGGAGACTTTGTTTGTTTGTTTGTTTTATTTATTTTTGGTGGCAATATATACAGCCAAACATACATCCATTCACAGTTTCTATGTGAGCAGTTCAGTGACATTGGTTACATACCTCACCTTGTGACATCATTCTCCATCTCTATCCAGACTGTTTCATCACCACTCATTTAGGCTCTTAGCCCCTTTAAGTTCTCATCTGTGCTTTAGATGACCTTGTCAGTTTACACTCATATAGATAATTCTTTATAACAGCGCTATGCTCGAGGCAAACATTTTTTATTAATTGGGCTAAACTGTTGTTTAGTTTAATGATGGCTTCATGGGAGAGTTTTGGTTCAAGGTTTAAAGATTATTTCCAGACATTAGGTTTGGGGGTTCAGAGGGAGGCTTTTACTGTCTACTCTCATATAGTTTCCAAATTTGAAGCATGTGAATATATTTCCTATTTTTAGGAATTAGATGAACAATGAAATCAAAGAAAAGGCATGGAATGCCAGTTATATACCCCACACTGGGCGAGGCACCTTGGGAATGTCAGTCCGTGTAAATGGAAAGGGTGTAACTCAGTGTAAATCATGGCCCTTGCCCTCAACCTCAAGGTTTCTCAACCTCTGCACTACTGACATTCTGGGCTAGATAATTCTTTGTTGTGGGGGAGACTGTCCTGTGCATTGTAGGGTGTTTAGCAGCATCCCTGGTCTCTATGCCAGTATCACTGCCCTCTCCTTCAGACATTGCCAAATGTCCCCTAGGGAATAAAATTGCCCCTAGTTGAGACCTACTATTCTCAGCACTTTATTTCCAGGTAACTGTTTCATTCTCAGAAGCCAGAGATTTCCCCTCAGCTTGTACCCCAAATGGGTTGCCACAGAGGTTGGGGGGGTTGATTGAACCTCATTGTGGGCAAGTTCCCTGAGTTTCATACATGGCAACCAATCTTAACTTCCTAGGAATCTCTTCTGTCTGGGAAAATAACAATCCCAGATTTAAAAAAAAAAAAAAAATCTGTTGAGAAGAATCTCTCCAATGCCTAGAATGCCCAGGCCATAAAAGGACACCCCAAAGGAAGTTCATAACTAAAGCAGAACATATTAAGGCCGGCAGATTAGCTGCCCACTCTGTAACAACACAACACAAGATGGCCAGGACGATGGAGCCCAGGGAAGTGAATGCCATTTCCTCCCATGATTATTCTCCTCTAGGTAACAGATGGAAGTCCTTGAGTGATGCAGATGGTTAACATGCTCGGCTGCTAACCAAAAGTTTGGAGGTTCGAGTCCACCCAAAGGTGCCTCAGAAGAAAGGCCTGGTTATCTTCTTCCAAAAAATCAGCCATTGGAAACTCTATAGAACACAGTTCTTCTCTGACACTCATGGAGTCACCGTGAGTCGGAGTTGACTCTACGGCAACTAGTTATTTTAACAGAGAAGGAGAAAGGAGCCAGGCAGTGTGAGAGCATATGCATTTTATAGCAAACGGTGGATAGTGGGTGAGCCTGCCATCATCTACCATCATCTCTCCTCCCTCTTTCAAGAATATTACTCCCGACGGACAGCTTTCTTTGGAGGCCAAAGAAAAGGGAACTGTATTTCTATGTTTTGATTCATTTGAGGCTCATCCCCGAGGGTTCTGTGAAATGAATGAGCGTAACTTTCCATGGCTAACTGTCCTGGCGGCTGGGTCCTATCGGCAAAAGCCTAGTGTTTATTTACTTTTGTTTGTGTTATTTTTATTTCAGTTCAGCTGCAGCTCAGTGCGGAAAGCGTGGGGGAGGTGTATATAAAGGGCACCGAGACTGGCCAGTACTTGGCCATGGACACCGACGGGCTTTTATACGGCTCAGTAAGTATGAGGCTGACCTGCTTCCAGACACGGCCAGGGTTTGAGGTCTCCAGAAATCTTGTCACACTGAGAGATGCAAACTGTAAAGCAACAATTAGTCTCTGTTTGTTATTTTTTCCAGCAGGACACAAACATTTTTTTTAAACTTTCTTCCAGTATTCTCTCAAAATACTTACACGTATTATTACACACACAGAAGAAACTTTGATTAAAAGTGTAGTAATTCATCAGTCACTCATCTGAGAATGCCTAATCCCACTTCACTCAGTCATTCCAAAAATGTTTCTTGAGCACCTATTACGTGCCAGGTACTATGCTAGGGGCTGGAGGTAGAATGATGAAAAGCCAAATATATCCCTGCCCTCATGCAGCTTACATTTGGGACAAACTCATGTTTTTAATGTGCTCCAGTAACAGGAAGTATCCTGCTTCTTATTCATTTATAGCCTAGTGAAATAATAACTGGGTACTGGTACAATGGTTAAGTGCTTGGCTGCTAACCGAAGGGTTGGCAGTTTGAACCCACCCAGCAGCTCTGCAGAAGGAAGACCTGACAATCTGCTTCCCTAAATATTACAACCTAGAAAACCCTATGGGGCAGTTCTACTCTGTCACACGGGGTTGCTATGAGTTGAAATCGACTCAACGGCACCTAACAACAACAAGATACTTTAGATCATCTAGGAACCAGATGGGATATAAATATAAAATTTAATTGGATGACTTTGCTACATCTAGAGAAACAGTGCAGGCATTAAAGTCTGATGTACATTGTTGGGGTGGGGAGCTAGGTAGTTTTTTAAATTTCCTCTAATACCTCTGGGTCACTATAGGTGTGTCTCTTAAGCTTTGTACAAAAATTACAGAGCCCAGTAGTTTATGTGTCATGCATAAAACTTTGAAAACAGCCCCTTTAATTCTAGAAGGGCCACCTAAAAGGATGAAAAGTGTAATACCTTAATTAACAAATGTTCATCAAATGCTTCCTGTGTCTAAGTACTGTGTTAGGTCCTGAAAGGGATGCAAAGATGAATGAGCCATGCCCCTGCCCTTGAGAAGTTGCTGGTCTAATCATTTATTCAGTAGCTAAAATCCTCCACATCTTCTGCCCCTTCCCTTTCACAGTTAATGCTTTATACAGGTTGCACCCAATATATATTGGTCTTTGTGAGAGATGAATAGAAATAAGGGCTATCTGATTTTGTCCTTATTGGTATCTCTCCTAAAAGATTTAACTGGAAAAGGAGCTGAAGCCAATGGCCCCAGGTTTTGATAATATTTTTGGATTTCAATTATTCCTTTTATCTCTTCTAACAGCTGATAGCTAAGTCTTGGCTGTAATTCACAGCCCAAGCCAAACCCTTTCTTCCCTTTGATGATGATGTCTACGAAACAGCTGCCAACAGGGGGTTTTAGTCTGGGGGTTCCCTTTAGCTTATATCAAATTGCCAAGTGACCCATCCAAGGCACAGCAATTGGCCTCTATTCACCTGGAGCAACAGAGGAAGAAGGAGAGTCAGGAATAGCAGGAGGATATGGAAAGTGTGGCTCATTGCCTCCATGAACAGCTGCCACCTTTGCTGTGAGACCAGAAGAACTGGATGGTGCCTGGCTACCATTACTGAATATTTTGATCAAAGATTCTATAGAGGAATCCTGATCAAAAGAGGGAAAATGCAGAACAGAATTTCAAATTCTTACGGACTCCAGACTTTCTGGAGCCATGGAAGCTGGATGAACCCCTGAAACTATGACCCTGATATAATCTTTAAACCTTAAACCAAAAATACTCCCTGAAGTCTTCTTAAAGCCAAACAATAGTTTAGCTTAACTAGTAACGAATGTCTGCCTTGGGCATTTATGCTCTTTCAAGAACCATCTGTATGGGAATAAATTGACAAGAACAATCAAAAGATTAGATAGGAACCTTAGGGGGCAGTGAGTTTATGTTAATAGAGAAGGAACAACTCAGAAAAGGAGGGTGAGAATGGTTGCGCAACTCAAAGAATGTAATCAATGTCACTGGATTGTACATGTAGAAACTATTGGATTGGTGTATGTTCTGCTGTGTATATTCTCAACAACAACAACAACAACAAAATAAATAAAAACTTTTTAAAAAAATTGCCAAGTGACAGTAGCATAGGAAACCCTCTCTAAATCTGTAATTTCAGCCAAGACTTGAGATGTGAACGTAGTTCTTTCATGCTGCCAGCTAAGGGCCGGGAGATGAAATCATCAGAGTAATAGGTAGCCTCTAGCATGCTGTTTGTTGAAATATACATCAACTGGGACAACTTTAAGGGGTTTGGAGCTAGGTAGTGTCTGCTACATAACTCAAAAAACTCACTGCGTCAAGTCGATTCCGACTCATAGCGACCCTATAGGGAGCAGATTTTTTTAAATGTTGTTCTTCCAGCTGGTAATAAAATCTACCAATCTGTCAGTCCGTAAATTCAGGCTGACTGTAATTTAGTCTCATGCTTCTGCCACTATGGCAACTTACTAGTCCACTCTGAGCCTTATCTAAAATGGGGATAGTAATGGATAGCAAAGGAGCCCTAGTGGCACCATGGTTAAGCACTCATCTGCTAACAAAAAGGTAGGCGGTTCGAACCCACCAACCGCTCCTCAGGGGAGAAAGATGTGACAGTTCGCTTCAGTAAAGATTATAGCCTTGTAAACCCTATTGGGCAGTTCTACTCTGTCCTATAGGGTCAATATAGGGTCGCTATGAGTCACAATTGACTTGCCGACATCAGGTTTATGGACAGCAACTACCTCATACAGAGCTGGTTGTTGTTAGTTGCTGTGGAGTTGGCTCTGACTCATGGTAACCCCTTGTACAACAGAACGAAACATTGTGCGGTCTTGCGCCATCTTCACAATCGTTAATATGTTGGTATCGTTGGTATCCACAGCTTAGGAGGGCTCAGTGAGACAATACTCAGAATGCACCCACAAACTGGCACACTGGAGACACTCAAGCAATGGTAGCTATAAAACAAATAATTGGTTTATAAATACCTTGCCCTTACTGTTTCTTATGCTATATGTTAGGCAGTTTTATGGATTTCCACCCCTTTAAACCAGGTTCAATGTTTATTATCCCATTCTTACCTTATAAAATATTGAGGGCTTTAGACTCCAGAACCCCCTTCTCCCACCAGAGCTTGGGCTATCGCTGTACTTCACCTAAAATATTCAGAGTGATCGTAATATATTATGCATAATAATTTTTGCATTTTCCCCATTGATAGAAAGAAGTTCTAGAAAAGCTCAGATTTCTGCCTCCTGCTCTTAACCAATTTTTAGTATTAATCATTCCTGATTCAATTCTTTTGTGTGTGTGTTTGGAAAGGATACGTTTCTTTAAAAAAATAAGTTTGAAAGTCTATATACTAAAATATTAATATATTTATTTCTGGGAGTGGTAGATGGGTGGTTTTATAATATGTGAATGCCTTCTGTATTTTCCAAAATTTCTACCGTGGGTATATGTAACTTATGTAATTGGGCAAAAAAACATGCTAAATATAAAAAAGAAAACAAAACAATAGTCATGAGTCAATAGTTAATCCTCATGCGCTTAGCATTGTACCAAGCACATAACAAGTGCTGACAAATCCTGGTTGAGGGATGGAACACCCTCCGATGTGGCCTGCTGACTCAGACTGTGACTCAGCCATTTTGTGTGTGTCAACTGCTCTAGTGTAACAGAGACATCAGGTGGGGAATGTGGCCATCCTCACCTTTGTCACAGAACGCGGGTCTGACACCCACTGAGGGGCGTCATAGGGTGAGCCCTCCCGGCAGGGGAGTGGGCAACACAGACACGTCCCAAACTGTCTGGCTCCTCACCCTTGACAATGTGTACGGAACACCCAAGTCTGCACTGCTTCTCTAGACGCAGCAGAGTCATCCAATTAAATATTATATTTATATCCCATCTTGTTCCAAAATGATCTGGCGTGTCTCACCCAGTTGTCATTTCACTAGACTAGAAATGAATAAGAAGCAGGATACTTCCTGTTACATGGTTCTTACTAATAAAAACTAAACTTTATTGAGTGTTTTGTATTATCTCAAGAATCATATTAAATTCAACACATAGCTGGTGAGCACCTATTATTTGCAAGGCTCTGTGCTAGACATGGAGCGGGGTGGGGGGTACTCCAAGCCAATAAGACTTCGTCCTTCCACTCAGTAGGGCTTACAGTCTAGTGGGACAAGCATTCCCACTGATAATTAAAGAACAACGAATAATATGATTGGAAACCACCACAAATGTCATTGCCAACCTCTCTGGGTGAAGAGATAAGGTAGAGCCCCCAGGGCTCAGCATATACTTGTTTTTACATTTGAATTAATCCAAATATAATAAACGTATTCCCAAATCTTGCAAATAAAAAGTGCTGGTAACTGGGGTTCCTCCCACTCTCTAACATATGCATTACAAGTAAACAAAATAGTGGTTGGTAGATATTTTTGAAATAACTACACTATTCAATATGTTATGGCTAGCTTTCCAGCTTAATAAATATAGCTGCATGGATTCCACTGTATGCGTGTACGGCTATGCACTTCACCAATCACCTTTTAATGACATTTATGTTCTTCTACTTTTTTTGCCATTTTATCCAATGCTTCAAAGACCATCCTTGAAAATACATTTTTGCACTTGCTCAACTATCTCCTAGGGGTAAACTCCTACAAGGAAAATTGCTGGCTCAAAGTGATGTATATTTTAAGTTTTGATACATATTACCAAACTACCCTCAGGAGGTTTACACCAGTTCATCTCACCAACAGTGCATAAATGTGCCTATTGCCCACACTCTCATCAATACAAGGGCTCATAAATCTTATTAATAATCTTTATTAATTATTAATCTTTGCAGCTGTTTTAGCCGACATATAAGTAATTTTGTTTCAATTTTCATTTTTCTTGCTAGTGAGATTGAACATGTTTTCGTAGGTTTATTACCCCCTTTGTAAAATAGTGGATAAAGCTTGCCATCTTAGTAATATCATACATCTGTATCCACATAGCCTTACTATGTGTCTCTATATGTACGCACATAAAGAGATGTAGTGAGGGATCTTCAGCAACTGCTAACAATTGCCTCTATCTGGGTGATGAACTTTGGGGTGGTTTTTCCTTTTCTCTTTATTTTAAGGAATGTTGTGATTTTTGAAAGAACTTTTTTTTTTATAAATAGCAAAAATAAATAAATAAAGCTATTTTCATTTAAAAACAAAAACCTCATTTAAGCTCCAGGATCTATTTTGTTTTTAGGACAAATTTTGCACAAGAACTTATGTTCATAGCAGCACAGAGGTAAAATCCTGATGCCATTAGTGAAAATCATTGGAATGAAAAAGTAGTCTTTATTTTTTAAGTCCAAACATGAGATGACACTACGGCCTCACAGACTGGTTTTAACTATTTTGAATGTTTTTCACGGTCATGCCTATGTGCAAGGCCTCTACAGAGACGAAAGGGCCAGCCCTGCCCTCAAGGTGCCTAGTTAAGCAGAAGCCCCCAAATGGAGACCCCAGAGTCCTTAGAATGGCGAATGGAAAGGGATCTTATGATAATAGCTAATACATATTGAAGGCTCATTATGTGCTGGGCACTGTTCTAAGTCCTCATTACAACCCTCTGAAGTAGGTTCTATTATTATCCCAATTTTCCTGAAGAAGAAACTGAGGCCACAGACAGCCTCAGTAACTTGCCCGTGGTCACACAGCTAGTAAACCAAGGAGCCCCTTTTAAAACTACTCGCTAATGGCTGTACTTTTGGTTTTATCTTTTTAGCAGACACCAAATGAGGAATGTTTGTTTCTGGAAAGGCTGGAAGAAAACCATTACAACACCTACATATCCAAGAAGCATGCAGAGAAGAATTGGTTCGTTGGTCTCAAGAAGAACGGAAGCTGCAAACGTGGTCCTCGGACTCACTATGGCCAGAAAGCAATCTTGTTTCTCCCCCTGCCAGTCTCCTCTGATTAAAGAAATCTATTCAGGCTGCTGCCCACTCCAGAGGAGTCTCACGGGCCCTCATCCTGCTGATCCCTGGAATGTTCCCCTTGACCACTGGCTGCACTAACCCTCGGCCACAGAGCCTGACTTTGTAAGCAGTGTACTCCTAAATACCCAGCTCACTATTTTGCAGAGTGCTTTACCCCAGTAGTGTTTGGAACAGACAGAGGGACCAAATTGCTTCTAGGGGTCAACTGGGCGGCCCCTCTGGGTCTGGGTTTGGATGTCCGGTTGCTTCTGGGCAGGCTACAGGCTGAGTCTCTCAATGCAAAGGTGGGGCCAAATGAAGTGTGTTAGGGGGTCTGCCAAATGAGTCATTAGTAACTGTGCGCAATTTTCCTCTACTGAGTGAACCCTGTCTGCTGTTCCCCCAAACATCTGGCCTGACTCCTTTTCAGCCTTTCAATATTCCGCAAATATTCACAGAGAAGCTTATTGGTAGCTTAGAGGAGGGCAACATTCCATGAGTAGGAACAGGGAGAAAGAAGGGATTTAAAATGAGAAGGGGAGATTGGCTTTTGGTAGACAAGTGAGAAGGATGGGATCTCAATGTGGACTAAATGAAGGCGGGACGCCCAGTCAGAGGCAAGCAGAATAAATCCACAGCCTTGGGAGTCACGTTGCTTCCTTGACTTTCCCAAGGTTATTCGGCAGCAGGAACCCACTGCATGATGTCAGGTGGAGAGCGTGAGAAGAGGTTTCTTGATAAGAGCAGGGATGTCAGATGTTAATACATTCATGTGTACAGGGAGTGGGTGGGTGAGTGATGAGAAAGGAAGGGAAACATTGGCAGAAGGTGTAAGTTAGCCTCGCAAAGAGGATGATTTTAGAACTGAAAAGGAGAGAAAGCAACGCTATGGGTTATGCTTGGCCACGGTGAGCAGAGGCTTTGGGATCATAGGGCAGGGCTTCTCCAACTCTTGGATCTTTTTTAAATGCAGATCCTGATTCAGTGGGTCTGAGTAGAGTTTTGGCATTTCTAACAAGCTCCCAGATGCTGCCAATGCTGCTACCCTCCCCCACCAAACTTTAACTAACTAGTACAAGTTGCCATTGGGTCGACTCCAACTCACGGCAACCCCACGTGTGTCAGAGTAGGACTGTGTTCCATAGGGTTTTCAATTGCTGTGCTTTTGGAAGTAGATCACCAGGCCTTTCCTCTGAGGTGCCTCTGGGTGGACTTGAACCTCCAACCTGTTAGTTAGCAGCTGAGTGTGTTAACTGTTTGCGCCACCCAGAGACTCCTATACTTTAAGTAGCAAGGTCCTCAAGAATGTTATTCAAATGAAGGTGGCTCAAAATCCCGTCCCTTACCTCGCCTCAGCCTCCCCCTTAAAAATACACACCCCATACACCTTCCCAAGCACTGCAAGCAGCATCTACAGTAGTTATGTCTGATTAAGGGGCATGATTTTAAGGTACTTTGGCCCAATGCCTACACAATGCTCATTTTAGAAGATATATAAAAGCAGACTTCAAAAATGTTAAACTCTCATGCACAGCTTTTCACCAGAGACCATGTTTGTGTTTCGATTACTTGTATAAATATGCTTTGCACTTAAGGTAAGCCTGACCCAAGTGGCTGGCAGATTAGAAACACCATTTGTCTTTGACCTATGCTACCGATGCCATGGAAAGCCTTTAATAAGCCATTTAAACTTATTGTGAGACTGTATGTTTTAATCACATTTAAAAATATATAGCTCCACTAGGGAAGACAGCACAACTTATACAAGGAAAGGTCATGGAAGCTCCATACACACATCCAAACTCCCTGAGGGGCTGCATTGCTGGGCGGAGGGCTGTGGGGACTACGGTCTCAGGGAACATCTAGCTCAATTGGCATAACAGTTTATAAATGCAATGTTCTACATTCTACCTTGGTGAGTAGCGACTGGGATCTTAAAAGCCTGTAATCAGCCATCTAAGATACTCCATTGGTCTTACCCCTTTGGAGGCAAGGGAGAATGAAGAACACAAGATACAAGGAAAAGATTAGTCCAAAGGACTAATGGACCACAGCTACCATGGCCTCCACCAGACTGAGTCTAATACAGCTAGATGGTGCCTGGCTACCACCACTGACTGCTCTGACCCGGATCACAACAGAGAGTCCTGGACAGAGCTGGAGAAGGATGTAGAATAAAATTCTAACTCACAAAAAAAGACCAGATTTACTGGCCTGACAGACTGTAGAAACCCTGAGAGAATGGCCCCTGGACACCCTTTTAGCTCAGTAGTGAAGTCACTCCCAAGGTTCAACGTTCAGCCAGGGATTGGACAGCCCCATGAAACAAAACAGGACTAATGAGGCACAGCAGTCCAGGGACAAGGATTACAAGGCAGGAGGGGACAAAAAAGCTGGTGATAGGGAACCCAAGTTTGAGAAGGGAGAGTGTTGACATGTCGTGGGGTTGTTAACCATTGTCATAAGGCAATATGTGTACTGTTTAGTGAGAAACTATTTGTTCTGTAAACCTTCGTCTAAGGTACAAACAAAAAAAAAAGAATAAATTATCTATGTGAGATCAAATTGACAAGAGCAACTCAAAAGATTTGATGGGAAGCCTAGGGGCCAGTGAGTTGAAGGTAATGGTGATGGAATAATTTGGAAAAGGATAGTGAGAATAGCAGCACAGCTGGAAGAATGTAATCGATGTCACTGAATTGTACATGTAGAAATTTCTAAAATGGTGTATCTTTGGCTATGTATATTTTCACCAAAAAAAAAAAGGTCCTCCAAGGTCGAGAAGGGCGAGTGTTGACATGTCGTGGGGTTGTTAACCAATGTCATAAAACAATATGTATACTGTTTAATGAGAAACTATTTGTTCTGTAAACCTTCACCTCAAGTACAATAAAAAATTAATATATATATATATATATATAGCTTCAAGGTGGTTAAATTGATTAGCATTCAGCCACTGAGAAAGATAATAATAAGATACCATGTGTAAGCTACTCAATTATCTACTACTTATACTACACTTACCTATGAAATGAGATTTTTGTTTTGCACTGTGCTGTTACACATTTTCCTTTGAAAATGGGCACTCTTAAGCAATGATGTGATAACTGTGGATAAAAATTGATGAGAAGGTTAGCTTGTGTTTTATAAGGAAGTGAAGTAATTATTAATTGAGAAATAATTCCTTAGCAAGTGAACTGTCATATTTAAGGAAGAAAAATGACAATTTGTGGAAGCTCAAAGTGATAGCGCAAATTGTGGAACTGATCTAAGTAAGTTAACATTATGGCTAATAGTATCATTATGCATTTCAACAGCAAAATGATTTTATAGCTTTTTTGTTTTTGTAGCTTGGATAAGACAATTCCGTTTTACTTTAGCGAATCTTTGCAGGCGAGATGGGGATCATGCAGTACGGCTTAACATCATTTTACTATGAGGGTTTGGCCAGAAAAAGGTACCCAGAGAGGAAATCCAAGATATTTATAATGGTCCATAATTTTTATTGTATGAATCAAATTCAAGTATAACATTGGCCAAGAAAAATTAAGTACCATTGCTGACAAATGAAACGGAAGTCTGTGGTTTCAGAGACCCAGAGCATTGCAGTAGAAAACTACTGTGACCTTGACAACCTTACTCCAGTCATCATTCAATGCATATTTATTAAGAGCCTGCTGTGTGCCAGGCACTGTGCTGGGTTCTGGGGACCCTGGGACCTTGTCTGTCTGGTCTGCTGCTGTATCCTCTCCCAGGGCATTATGTTTATGTGGATTCGTCTCTTTCAGTCCAGTAAGAAACTTTGTAGGTTCCTGCTGAATAAATAGCAAGCACCAGAAACCCAGGTTTTGGAAGAATTAGCAACCTCCAGCCTAAGATAAACTTCTGTCAAAGTCTCAGAGGACATGACAAGGTAAATCTAACATTTTCAACTATGGAAATGCGTCCACTTCAGGGGGACTGCTTTCACATCAGGAAAATAATCTGTCAGCTCCCGTAAGAAGAGAGTGGTGGGCAGTTCCCAGCTCCGTTTTGAACATGCTCTAGTTTCCTCACCATGGAGCCCTCCCACTGCTCGCTCTCTTCCTTAATCAAGCCTTGTAGTTAGTCTGTCCGTCAGGTGCCTCTCGTGTGGATTCATGTTCAGGCCAACTGTTAGGAGTCAGCTGACGCTTCGTACAAAGTGTTTTTGACTACTTTCGATGTGGTGGTGGTGCTTCTTTGTGTTTCCTTGGAAAGAATGAAAATTAAAGCCTCCTATGACCAACAGTGTGTCCTTACAAAAAACTGACTGGAGCATAATCTGTCAGTGAAGATCAAGGTCGTTGCTCTGTGTTGAAGGTAACGGAGCCCAAGTCCTCAGGCTTGCACAGCATGCTGCCTCAACCAACCGTGCTCCCAGGCTGCAAAGCAAGCCTCTGAGGAAGAAGATGTCTGTCATTTTATATCACTGTCTTTTCGAAAATATATGTGTGTGTGTGTATATATATATATATATCATAGTCTGCAACTTACAAATATTAATAAATGTTCCATTAATCGGTGATAATGCCTTGGAGTTTCTGAGCATCTGAGCGTCGTCTTTCTACTAAAGGGTTTCCCCCACCACCCCTGAGGTGTCACTGCTTTGTTTTCTACATGTGTCCTATCACCACGTATGAGACTTTAAAGGCCGACTGGACAAGCTAAGGTAGAAACACTTGTCATTTTATTTGAAAACCTAAGGCAATATTGGTGATTTTCTAGGAATCCATTAGGAAATTTGTCCTGAACAGCTGGGAGTGATAAATAACTCAGTTTACACTTTTTCTTCACATTATAACCCATGTGAAATTATGCTACTATTACAGGGCTTGGGCTTAGGAAAAGATACTGGTGACCTGAAAAAATTTTTAAGGATTTATTTACAATTTGAAGACAATGGCAAGACGGTGTATCTCTTGCATCTCAAGAGAGCTGACGTGGGGCTGTAGTTTGGCCCATCAGATTTTCTGGATTATCACACTAAGCAACATCTCCTTAAACTTCTGAATCTATGGCTGCTTATTCTTCAGAGGGAGTACACTCTTTCTTAGCACAGAATCAGATCTCATACGCAGTCACACACATACATTCACATGTGTTCCTGCACACACACACTCACACATGCACTCATACATGCACTCATATGCATATGCACAAACACAC